TTGATCATCTGTCCATCATCGTATAAAGCCCGCCCTGACAATTTGATTGGATCGCCTGACAGTGGGCTTTAATACTCGCGCTACTATGGAGCAGAGCCAGACCGAACTTCCCCGAACTCAAACCTTGTGGGCGGGACTAAGTTCGGACTGGCACCCAGGCTAGGCGACCACTGAAGTCGGCATATAAAGATTAATTGAAACCATTAAAATTCTGATTCTTCCTTTTAGATTGAGCGATACCTGTTGAATCTTTATGTGCTTTCAAAAGTTTCTTAAATAAAGTTAATCAAGCAACCATCTATTATAATAGTACATTTCAAATAGTACATGTAGTGCATTGCTTTTCTGGGTTTTCTCTGTCTTGTGTGGTGGAGTGCTCTGCAGTGGTTTAGATCCTACCTGTCAGAGAGGTCTGTCTGTCAGGCTGGGGGACTCATGTCATCGTCTGCCCCCCTTTATTGTGTCCTTCAGGGTTCTATCCTGGGACTATTATTGTTTGCGCTATATCTCCTCCATTTAAAAGAGATTTTCACTAAATATTTAGTAAGATGTACTATATTTAGTAATATGTAATACTAAATATTACATTGCCTAGCAATGGTGGCCAGAGGGCCATGTGGCACCAGTGTACAGCAGCCTCGCTTCTGTCAGTGAGCCCCAGGGCAGCTGTAGCTACAATTTAGTTATAAGGTAAACAGAAGAGCTATATAAGTACAGGTCATTTACCATTTTATTAACCATTTATATGCAGACAATTTTCAACTTGATTTGCTATTTGCTAAAACGTCTAACAGTATAGATACAGTTTAAGAAGCAGATTCTGCAAAGTCCAAGTGGGAACAAGTAGTTATTCTTTATCGCCAGAAAGTATGTAGAGTTTTGACGTTAGTGGGGTGGTTAGGCACTTTTCCATTTAGAGATTTAAAAGCAATCTAAAAATTAGAATTGCTTAAAAAAAACCTGCATAAAGAAAGCAGTAAGATATTAATTTGGTCATATTTCCAGTTAAAAGTAATGTATTAATATTTTATATCAAATGTTGACCAATAGAAACTTCATCAAAAAACTAAACCAAAATTGTCCTGGTGGGATGAGTGTAAACACAAAAAAAGAAAAGGATCCATCTTCATAGTCCTTTATTGCTGGAAATGGCCACATTTAAGGACACAATTTATCTTAGAGTATGCACAAACCCGTTTCTCCTCGAGGCGGTGTGGGGATGCAATGATAAGACAGTCGCTCTGATGGATCTCATCTCACCCATATTTTTATTTATAAAAAGTTTCCCCTCAAATAAGTCTACTGGTACATTAAAGAAATCATGGCATGCTTGTATGTGTGTGTGCTGCAGTGTGTGTGGGGTAAATAAGGATCTGTTGCCACCAAATTACTACTAACAATACAAATTATGAAATAAATTAACTTATCTTCCCTGAAAAGTTAAAATTTTGAATTAGATAACAATCCGTTTTCTTTTCTTTTTTTGGAGCTTATACCGCCATCCATCCCCTAAAATATTGAAACACTTAAAACATGGTATTCAAAGGATTCCTGCTTTCTTTACTGGATGGAAGTGTGTGAGTCAACCACCTAGCGGTGAAATTCTCTACCATGCTCTTTTAAAAGTTCAACAAAATAGAAGCAAATATGAGCTTAAAGAGCCTGTCAAAAGATTGATCCCTATGGACACAAGAGAGATGAGAATTTTTAGATGAATACTTCTGTCTGTCTTTTAAAGTTTGGTTGGCCTTATTTGGATCCAAACCACATAATAAATGAAAAGATTCGTAAGCTAATTCAATTCAATTCAGTTTATTTATACAGGACCAATTCATGACACATGTAGTCTCAGGCACTTTAAGGAGGGAATTCAAAAGGATCATAAAGTCAAAATGATTAAAAGTTTTCTATCTAAGGAAAACCAGAATCGTTGACTTGAATTCAGTCCCTAACACTAAGCATGCTTATAGCAACAGTGGAGAGGAAAAACTTGATTTTAACATGAAGGAACCTCCTGCAGAACCAGACTCAGTGTGAGCAGCCATCTCCTGAGGCCGACTGGGGTTCAAGGAGACAGAAGCAGAGATACACAAAGAAGCAAAGATAAAAAAAAAAAAGGCAAATGTCAACCAGCTTCATCTAGGAAACAGCCAGGCAGACTAATGAAAGTGTTCATCTGTATGTCATTTATTGATTGGCTAATTTACATTTTTGTTTATTTTTTCTTGTTACAGCTGCAGCAATTGTAGTTCCCTGCCTGTCGACCCTTGTTGCTGATCACGGTGAGTCTCCTCTCTTTTCCCTCACCAATGCTTCTCGTACTTTCAGATCTCTGATGTTGATTTTCTTTGTCTTTGATGTTTGATCAGGTTCAGCTAATCAGAAGGGTACAGTGATGGGGATCCTGCGGAGTTTGGGTGCACTAGCAAGAGCATTTGGACCAGTGATGTCATCCTCTGGTATGTGTATATTAAAGGAGAAAATAATGGCCTGCTAAGCTTTAAAGACTTGGATTTGGCGTCAGATATAGGATTTCTGTATCCTGGGAAACAGGAATTACCGTATTTTAAGTAGCTCTACCTTTGTTGTTTTTCTATTTATCTTACATGTTTATTCCTCTTTTTCTGTCTCTCCCCCCCAGTTTACTGGATTGCAGGAGCACAGACCTGTTTCCTCATCACATCAGCCTCCTTTGTGGTTCCTCTTCTTCTCTTGAGCAAAGCCCGGAGGTTAAAGGAGGAATGAGCTGCAGAAGGACTGAGAATAATATTTTTAAAAGATCCTAGTTCTGCTGCCTTGTACAGATACTATGTTGTTTACTTATATCCAGGGGAACAAGCACTATGTTTTTACATTTTTAGAAAGCCGTTATGTCATATTTACCCTCGGTGCCTTTGTCTGAAGATATTCATGTGAAACAAAACAATGCAAAAAGACCAAATGTATGCCCCAATATTGAAGAAGGTACAGAGTATTTTTTAGTATTAAGTAGGAAACAATGCTGTATGTTTGCACATGAAGAAATCTCCTTTTTATAAAACACATTATAGTGATTACAAGTCGTATTTATGCTTGCTGAGTTTCAGCCTCTTTTTATAATGGAGCATTTTACCAGTCATACAGATGTATTGTTTTATTAGCCAACATTATACGTTTCCTGTCTTTGAAGGAGTTTTTTTTTTTTTTTTTATTAAATTTGGGGGTAAAAATCTACTGTAATGCTTTTGTCAAAATGATTTCTATGCTTATCACCAGAGTTTATAAAAAAAAAAAAAACGTAAGTAAAATTGTACTTTTCAAACCATTTCCTATTGCTAAACCGTTTCTTTACATCATAGTTTTCTGATTAATACTCTTTCACATTAAGTTTTATACAAATACCATTTTCAGTATAAAAGGGAAGTTTAATGTGTTAAACTGAATTCATTAAATGCCAGAAGAAAAAGAAAAAAAGATGTAATTGTCCAGAAAGCTGTTCCAAACGAAATTTATTATGGTTTTACACTTGTGTAAACAAAATGACAAATAAATCTGTCCAAGTCTAACAAAAGATTTACAGGACTTAGCATCAAATCTACCATCAGGGTATCCCTAAAGAGATGTTATTTAATGGGAAACTCTTTTCCTAAAGCAACCTGGCAGTCTGATTTTTTCTTTTAAGGTAAGGTTCAGCTGACATTGGTACAAACGTGTAGAGATGTTTTAAAAAAAACAAAAATTACAAAAAGAACGAGATGTTAAGCTGAAGGAGAGATAAACACATTGACAAGAGGAAAAATACTGGGTTATTATTATATTGTTTAAACTTTTATTTCACCAAAAATTCACTATTGATGTTAACAATCTCTTGTACAATTGAGACTTTTCTAATATCTACCTAGAAAATACTTATTTGAATAGAAGGACCTACAGTATTTGGGAAATAGAAAAGTTTAGGTTAAAGAGAAGTAAAATTAGCATCAGGTTTTAAGAACGACAAATTAAACTGAAATAACCATCATAGTAAAACAAAACTCTTCCAGACAGGTGGGAATTTACCCCCCAAAAATCAATCAAGTAAGAGTAATTCTATAACATCTACTTCACCTACAACACTGACAAGGGAAGCACTGTATATACTGTATATATCCCATGCACCTTTTTCTTTCTTTGGCACATTCTTCTCCTTTGACTATTTGAGCTGATGTAATGAGTAAATTTATCCACTGTGAGATCAATAAAGTCAATCAATGAACCAATCTACTTTAACATTTTTTTATTCATGTAAAAGTAGAAAATAGTCATCCAAGAAATTGATCAAAAGTGAAGAGTATTGGTAAAATGACTTCTCAGGTACAGAGCAACTGTTGGCTCGTAACTTCTGATAAAATGTTTAAAACTTTGAAAATAAAAAAAAATTAATTATCATTGAAATTCTGGCATTTCAAAGTATACAATAATACAGATAATATGATTACAAAATAACTATGTGCAGAAGAAACACTTTTTCACATAAATGTCTTTTAGCATAAACGTGTAGAGGCAGTAGATATATGTTTGAAAAGGATAAAGAACTTCCAGCATCAATTCCATTTACTGTATATTCAACTTCTCTCCAAATGGACATTGTAGGGAGTGGAGTCACCAGAAAAGTTACTTAAGTAAGAGCAGAGATGCTCTTACAATACTATTACTTAAGTAACTAAAAAGTAGGGTAAAGTAACACTACTCTTAAAAAATAAAAAATTCTCTCAAATTTAATCAAGTAAATGTAACTAGTCACCTACTCTGCTTCCTGAGCAGATTAAAAAACTGTACATATGTTCATGACTGTGGATGAATGCAGAATAGAATAGAATAAAATAGAAAAGGAAATCCATTTATTATCCCACAATGGGGAAATTCTGGTGTTTTCAGCAGCAAAAAGATAGTAGAAAATTTTTTTCACAGAAATATGGACCTTAGAAAAATGTATAAGAATAACATAATAGTGAAAAAGTAAAAGATACACAATAAAATACTCTACTGTAACGTGTTTTAACAAAATAAAAACTTCGCACCTGTCATTATACAGCTATGGACATGTATTTACCCATTCAATAACTGTGAAACATCTTTTTCTAAACTTGACATATTTCTACTACTGATCCGCTCAGAAATAGCCTAACCTTTTGGCAGGAAGTTCAACTTCTTCATAAGTTCATGTATTTTCGTTCCATTGCCACAAGATGTCGGTGTTGAGCCGTTTGTAGCACCCAGATGGGACGCTCCATTGAACCCTTTGGATCAATTTGTCAGTAAAAATTTACGCATTCGTCACCATGAAAAGTAAGTTTCTAGTCATGCTAATAATTTTTGATTTATCGTCTAAACGAGAAATTAGAATCGATAATGGTTAAAAATCTAAATAAATTTTCAGAATTTTTATTTTTAATATAGTTTTGTTAATTATTTTCCCATCGGGCCATTGATAGATTTGAAGAACAGGATTATATTGGGTTACTAAGAGATGTTTGGTGACATAAATCATACTTTTAATATAAATGGTGTCCTGAAAAAGCGGCATTCAAGTCATAGTTACCTAAGAAATACTGCAAAAAAGTTATGTTTTTGTTTTAAAAAAGTGTAAATGTAATAATGTAAAACTTTTCTCATTGTAATGATAATATCTCCCAAAGTCATGATGAGATTTTAAGTGGAGCTCTGGTGCTTGGTCTATGAATATGAACGTGTGCATGAATGAATAAAAGATTAAGGGTCGGATCTATCAAAGGTTTGCGTGCAAAACGTGAGCTATTTCACTGCGCACGCTAAAAAATGTATCAAGAGCGTGCTAAAAGGATTTGGTCTTTAAAACGTGCTAAATAGCGCCTCTTATCCATTTAGTACTTTTTATGCAATGAATATGCAATATGGGGCGTTTACACGCAAAAGTGCGTCTTCTGGGAGGAGAACATGTAAATATATTAAAGGAATAGCA